AGTAATGTTCAGGCATTTTGATTTTGATTTGAAATATTAGTTTAAGTTAGTAAGGACTGTGTGCAGTTGGGCTTTCAGATTTTAGTATGTATACAAGCTCATTTACAGACATATTTCAAACTGAGTTGGAGCCAAGGATGCTAATATCCCTTTAGAAGAATGAAAATAAAATCCTAGCATCCTTGCAACAGCTTGTCCTCCCACATCTGTGTTGAATATGAGCTTTGAATCGGGTTCCATTCAGCAGTATCAGTCTCTACATGAAGCTGAATTGAGCATTTTAATATTACCCGAATGAGTGCTTTAATTTCACACCCAATTCTGATGCTTTCACCCATATCAAAACATGTGTAATGCTTGTTACAACTTCCTTCCAAAGGCCTATTTGTCTCTTTGTTCTTGTCTTCCCTGTAGATGCTTGACTTTGTATTGTAACACTAAAGATTAAAAAAAGGAAGCAGAAGAAAAACACTATATCCACTCCAGTATAGGTTGTGCTAATTAGCATGTTTAGCTTTCTCTGAGCGACTGAGCTTCTTTGTGTTATATATGTTAGTCTTATTTGTGTTTTCATCTTTTTTAATGTTGTTTCTCAGGAGGTGCAGGCGTGCACTGTGGACATGGGCATCACTGCAGATAGCTCCAATCACCCCGACAACAAGAGCAAGAACAGATACATCAACATCCTGGCCTGTATGTCCCTGTTCACTATGTTCACTGTTCAACACTTTATTTCCACTGCTATGTTTATTTGTATAAGGATAGATGTGAAGCACAAACCAGTACTATACACTACAGTATATATTAACTCAGTAGAAGAGATACAATCTAAGCAACAGGTACGTACATTAAAAGTCAAAGCTTCAAATTTAAAAAGAACACACAGACAACACTACACAAACGTATAAAGCTCGGCACCGTAAAGCAAGAAGCAGCAGAACATTCATCTCTGCAGGATTTAGGATTTATTGTTTGAGTTTAATATTATCCATTGTAGGTAAAGTATTCTACGTGAGTACAGCAAAAGATGTCTCAAATTGGATTAAAATGAGGAAAACGTACACTTCCTGTTGGATGCCGTTAACTCAGAGTCAAACCAACATTTTTAGATATGACTATGAATAATTGTAAAAGAATCAAAGCAGGGATAAAGCTGAATAACCCTTTCCTCTCCCAGATGACCACAGTCGAGTCAAGCTCTCCAGCAGTTTAGACAGAGACGCCAGCTGTGGAGACTACATCAACGCTAACTTTGTGGATGTGAGTATGTCAACAGGCAGTCTGGCTGCAGGTCGTAGGTCAGGTGGGTCTTTTAAACCCGTGCTCTCCTCTGCAGGGCTACGAGCGGACGAGGGCCTACATCGCAGCTCAGGGGCCCCTCAGAGCGAGCAGGGAAGACTTCTGGAGGATGATCTGGCAGCAGAACATCGGCGTTATCGTCATGATCACCAACCTCAAGGAGAAAGGACGGGTAGGGCGTCACTCTGCTGCTGTCCCGATACGATACGATAATACTTTAACGGTCAGATCAAGTCTGAAATTGGACTTGCATCACAGCAGCTCCATGTGTAACATCAACATAGACAGATATCACGACACAATACATGAAAAACAGAGCCAGTATTTCGTTTTTTATAAGAAAGGCCACCTAATTGTCTGTAGTCAACACACTATAAAAGACTACAATTCCCATGGCGCCTGCTCTAAAGTGACAGTGATGGGCAACCTGCTAGAAAGACACCGTCAAGGAACAGTTTTTAACCGTCCAATTATCCTTTAGGTTATTAAGTTATATATATAAGAAAGAATACTTAAGTTGTTTGTTATTTTATTTGAGTTTGGCCTATTTGTTTTGAATATTGTAAAGGCCTCTTCTCTTTGTTGCATGTGTAAAAGTTTGTTATTTTATTTTGAGCAAACACATCGCATAACATCATCCAAACCGTCGGAGGCCAAGCAAATCTTCAACTGTAAGAAATATAAAGGAAAGAAAACGAGTTAAAAATGTCTGTTTAAGGCGTCTAGTGGCTTGAAAGAAAAACAAGGAAGGAAGCCACAAAGCATGCTCAAAGACCTTTAGCGTGCATTTGATCTGGGAGTTAGCTCTGTATTTACTGTTAGGATTGACTGCTGCACAAAGGAATGCTTCAGTCTGACTTTATTGGACCCTGTATCTCCGATGAGATGGTAGCAGTTCCTATTCGCTGTTCAGAACATGGTTTGGGTCAGAGATGATGTTGTTGGACAGCCTCACTAAGTAATTATGGTATGCTGAGTCATAAAGTCTCTGAAAGGGTTGACCACCAATCTTTGAGCAGATTTTTAACAAGTGGGGCAGTTTTGATTTTAAAGCTGTTGACAAACACTTAGTATTGCAATACTGTAGAATAGACAAATACAACCCACACAAACATCTGTTACTCAATGGCTCCTGTTTTAATCGTTGTCCTCCGTCTGCAGACAAAATGTGAGCAGTACTGGCCCGAGGAGAACCAGGAGGAATACGGGGCGTACCAGGTGACCCTGAAGAGCATCAACGCCCTGGCTTACTACACTCTGCGGACGTTCTCTGTCAGAGACACCACAAATAAGGTATGTCTTACACACAGACACACACACATAAACACACAAACGCATAATAACACTGTCTCCCTCCTCCAGGCTCCTCAGAAGAGAGTTGAACACACAGTCCTACATTACCACTACACCCAGTGGCCAGACATGGGCGTCCCAGAATACACTCTGCCTCTGCTGTCCTTCATAAGAGCGTCCTCCAGGGCGCGGACGCAGGAGATGGGACCCGTCCTCGTACACTGCAGGTATAAACTGGGGATTTACGATGAGATTGCTACTATTTCATATACATACGTAGTGTGTACTCATTGATATGTGATTCCAGTGCGGGTGTAGGGCGGACAGGAACCTACATAGTGATTGACAGCATGCTGCAGCAGATCCAGGAGCAGGGCACTGTGAACGTTCTCGGTTTCCTGAAACACGTTCGGACGCAGAGGAACTTCCTGGTTCAGACGGAGGTAAGTGAACTATCACACACACACGCACACACACACACACACACACACACACACACACACACGGAGAACAACGTATCTCTGTGTTTTCTCTGGTAGGAGCAGTACGTTTTCATCCAATGACGCTCTGGTGGAGGCCGTCATGAGCCGTGGCACCTTGGTGACCTCTGACCTCCTTCACACTTACGTGTCTGACCTCCTGACCCCCGGGGCATCGGGCAGGACGCGCATGGACAAACAGTTCAAGGTAAACCCGAACCATAACACTTCTTTACATTTTAGGCATGCGTTTAAACCGACACTTACTGTACCCTCATGTTTCTGTCTTGTTTCAGTTGATCAGCCAGCGCCAGGCAAAGCATGCAGACTACAGCACCGCCCTGAGGGACGGCAACGCTGAGAGGAACAGAGCCCGGGCCCTGATGCCTGGTGAGCCCACAGCCTGTTCACACACAAGTTCATTTTCAAGTTTCAAGGCTTTATTGTCATTAGCAAATTAGCTACAGTGTAGAAAAACGTAGGTCACAGGCTTCTCCAACAGTGCAACATATATATATAGGACATAGAAAAACTAGTGCGAGACACAGTATCACACCCTGGTGGGGGGGAGGTGCACACCCATGTAGTGATCAGCTGTCTTTTGTTTTTGTGCAGTGGAGCGATCAAGAGTGTGTCTGAGCGCTTCAGAGTCAAACTCCACCGGCTACATCAACGCCTCCTACGTCTTGGTGAGACAACAGGAAGTGTGTTGTTAGATTTTTGGGACATCAACCTGTGCTGGTAGCTTCATGCTGCTGCTGCTCTCTCCACAGGGACATCACCACAGTAAGGAGTTCATGGTGAGCCAGACTCCTCTGGACAGCACGGTGGCAGACTTCTGGAGACTGATCTGGGAACACGACACACACACTGTTGTCGGTCTGCCAGACACACACTGCCAGGTATAACACTCGTTACCACAGACTGTATATAAAGATGGACATGGCAGCTCTCTGAAAGAAGGGCCAAAACATCTCCATTGTCCCCTAGTGGCTGTCTGCATAGTAGCTCAATTACAGGAATAGATGTCTAAGAATAAAAAAATCAAATACAGTTTCCCATCATTTTAAGTATTTTTAGGTCTGTTCTTATCCACTGTTTCTTACGTGTTTAGTGGTTCATTTTCCAATAACTTTGGGTCCTTGAATGAGTCATTTTGATTGCTATAAAATGGGTCTAGGGACGTCAAGATTGCCAGCTTTCCATAATCGTCAACTTAAGGAAAGTATAGATATTCTACTATGTGTTGTGTCTTTCGAGACCTCCCCCTCCTAGTGTTGTCCCATTAAAAGTCCATAATATCACATTTGCTTCCTGTTTCCTGTTCACATCAGGAGTGAGAGGGCGGTTCTTGTGGGTTTAGCCTGGCCATCAAAGACCAGCCAATGAGCTTTTGAGGGTTTAATTGTGTCATTTTCCGGGGGAGGAGCATGTGTGCCTGTCCAATGGACGGAGACTTTCTGGTGCAGTACTTACGCTGGAATCCCAACAGTAACCACACACATAACTGTACCTTAACCATATTCTGTTAACATACACTGGGATGGTTAAACCAAAAGTGGTGACTAATATCAGAAAAAATATTTCCAAGGACTGTGTTTCTCTTCTCTGCTCAGGACCACCATGTGTTGGAGGTGCGTCAGTACGCGCCCCTGCTGGCCAAACCACTGACCAATCAATCAGCAACAGGCTTGATGTGATCCGTACAGTCAGCAGAGCACGAGCAGACTGTCGGACAGCCCCCAACACTCGTACACGACCCAGTGAGTACACACAGAGAGCAGCACCTGTTCCTTTCACTTCCTGTTCATTTGCTCTGTGGGGGTAAATATCTCTGTGTGTGTTGTGTGTGTGTGTGTGTGTGTGTGGTTGTGTGTGGTGGGTGCTGTGTGGCTGTGTGTTGTGTGTGGTGTGTGCTGTGTGGTGTGTGTGTGTGTTGTGTGTGTGTGTGTGTGTGGTGTGTGTGTGTGTGGTGGTGGTCGTGCTGCCTACAGGTTTCCTCTTCCTGCCCAGCTTCATTTCACTGACAACCCTGGTGCGACACAGAGGATAAGATTAGGCAGCCCAGATATTAAGCGTCTGTGTGCTGCTGTGTGTTGTGTGTGGTGTGGTGTGTGTGGTGTGCCCTGTGTGTGTGTACGACAGAGTTGGTTCGGTTTGCGTTTCCAGCCCAGTCTGGTTGGAGTCTCTTTTCTGCCGTCAGGCGAGGGCTTTGGCCTGCCACGTGAACGCTCCCGTTTCCTCCTCTGCAGGCTTTCTTCCACATGCCCTTCCCCAAAGGCAGGACGCTGATCGCCCCTGAAATCACACACACAACGCACACATGTATTACATCACAACAAGTACTACACACACACACACACACACACACACACACACACAACACACACACACACACGCACACACACACACACACACACACACACACACACACACACACACACACACACACACACACACACACACACACACACACACACACACACACACACACACACACACACACACACACACACACACACACCTACCTGTTGTCCTTGCCGGGGTACATCTGTGTGTACTCCACCCTGAACCTCTTGGCGAACAGCATGAAGGCGTTCATTGGCCGCTTGCACTTAGTGGGCGGGGCATTATTACTTCCTGCTGCGCTGGCTTGCTGGGTTTTGGTTGGCTTGAGACATGGAGAGGGGGAGGGGCCGGGACTGTGGGCGTCTGCAGGTGTGATCACAAGGACAGGTTTACTTTTGTTACCTTTCCTAGAGTGTTTTTGTTCACTGCATTAAAGTGCTGTACCTCGTAATGCGTCTCTGTCTGGAGAGCCGCTGGACTGGGAGGCACGCCGCCGCCTGGCCATGCTGCTCAGCACGTAGACGGCAGAGGAGTCCAGAGGAGTGAAGTCGTAACTGAGGAAGACACAGAGGGAAACATTTCACACACACACACACACACTCATCAGCAGCTTGAGGTTGGGAACAGGGGGGGATTTGTACCTCTTAAATGTGTCAAAAACCAGCGAGTCGTCGGTGTGTTTGGCTTCTCTGTGTCCTGGAGGAAGGCACACATCACCCACCTCCATTTCATAGCACGGTATCCCATAGTGCACCACGGTCAGGCTCGGGTGAAATGACGACCACCCTAACAGGAAGTGAATGCAATGTTGTTTTGGAAGATAATTCATCCTCTGTATGATGTGCTTTTCAAGTGTTTTCTCATCATGCCTACCTTTGTTTCGGACGTAGAAGGGGTGGTCAAGTTGGCAGCGGGCGCTCATGACAGCTTGTCCGAGCGCCCCGGGGTCAAAGGTCAGCTGTAGCACAGCCTGACCGGACAACACAGTCTCTGAATGCTCCACCAGCTGCAGACCCTCGGGGCCATAACCCTGAAATGATGTACAATCCCTTTATTGTAATGGGTCATTTCCAGTGAACTAGAGCATCATACATAATGTCTATGTAACATCATGTACCTTCAGAGACCTGGATCCTTCCTCGTCACCAGAGTCTTCCTCAGCACAGTCCAGGTCCTCCACGTCCTGCCAGTCCACCTTTGAGCCACTGTGGAAACGCAGACGAGTCCCTGATGACAGAGAAGAGTTATAAACAACAGCTTTTGACCTAAAATCTCACTTTCATGTGTTCCTAGCAGTGAAAGACGTGTGTGTACCTTTGAGGAAGCAGTGCCAGGTGGTGGGGGGGCAGGAGAAGCTCCAGCCGACGTCTTCCTCGTCAGACGGAGAGGATCTGGAGGACACAGCTGGTTCCCTCTGTGGGGACATGAAGCACATCTGTTCACACACAGCGTTCTACTGTCTGAGGTGAGCCGTCTATTTAAGTAACATAAAAACGATAAAGGAGATTTTATAGATGTGTTTCTCAGACACTGTGTTCAGAAAGAGCTAAAGAAAGCTGTACCCTGGTGCGGAGGCGCTCCCTGCCACGACCTCTGGGGGGCGACGGGGTGCTGCTGGGGAGAGAGGGGGGAGGCCGAGCGTAGGAATGTAGATTACTGCTGGGGCTGGAGAGGCTGGAGCTGCAAATGACACAGACTCAGGACAGGAATGCAGGCTGAGGGAGTGCAGCATGTAAGACTGTCCACACAACAATCTGAGGAACAGTTTACATTCTACAACTGCATATATAATACACACTTTGAAATGTATGCCCGAGCCATACACTTCCCCAAATAACAATGGATTGGGGCGTTGGGCCTACACATACAAATCTTAAATGTCACATTTTAATATATATTTTTCAATTATTAAAATGGACTTTTAAACTAAAATCCTTAAAGATAACTAAGATAAGATAAGATGGAACTTTATTTATCCCCTTGGGGAAATTCCGGCGTTTATAGCAGCAACAGGGTCGGAGTTAAAAACAAGATTCACATAATGCCCTATTTCACAATAATAGCTTTAACAACGACATAGTGACGAGAAATAAAACAATACAAACAGTGAAAGGAATTTAGAATATTTAGGAAGGGAACCTTTTCCTGACTTATTATGAGTTGTTTGCTCCGATCTGTCACGTGGATGGGGAGACAAATAGACTACATCTTTTATTCACATTTAACGTTGGGGTCTTAGTCCAGCCCACGTACCTGCTGGGGGCCGGCTCCGGCAGCAGGGGGCTCTGAGGCCCGGTGGCGATGTGGGCCAGCTGTGTCAGCCAGTGTGTGTCAGGAGGGTGTGTGTGTGCATGTCGCTGCTGGTGGGACACACCCACGTCCACCTGGTAGACTGCTGGCTCCGCCTCCTCCTGAACCTCCTGCAGGTCCGGCAGGTCGTCTAGATGGAGAAAACAAACATTTCTAAAACATTTGCTCCAGAAATAACGCCTTCAGGCACTATCACACAGAGGCAAGACAACATTCGACTGAAATGTACCAAAGTTGAACTGTGACCATGCCCTGAAACTGAAGCTTTTCCTCCATCTGCTGTGAGAAACCAGGTGCACGCTTCTCTCTTACGTACCGTACTCCATGTAGCTGTCGCTGGTGGGTAATGCGGGGGAGCAGGGGAGGCGTTCCTCACAGCAGAGCAGCTCAGGTAACTGTTCTCCACCTGTATCCATCACCACTGCTGAGGGGAACACCAGACACACACAACAGGATAGGAGAATAGATTTATTATCGGCATTTCACAATTTATTTGTAGATTAATGTGGCCATGTAAGTAACTTATATATGTATGGTATCATTGAAAACACATAGGTGTAATCCTTTCAATAATACACAACATATGTTATGTAAGTAGTCTGCTTTAATCAATATTTGTTGCTGTTAAGTGATCAAAAACTACATTTATGGTGCTCAAAAACAGTTTTAGAGGCAGTTGTCATTTTGAAAAACTAGATTTTTTTTTAAAGGGACACATTTAATTCCATTTAAATTCAGGATTTTGTTTGAAGATTTATATTTTGTTAGGGGGATGACGTGATAAGATATTATGACTGATTTCTAAAGCTTAATTGGAATATATATATATATTGGGGGCTTAAAGTCTGAGTACCTCTGGTTGGATTTTTCTATCACTATTCTACAGTACAGATGCCTGTTAACGGTGCTGTGTGTTACCTGTGCGTCCACCGCTCTGATGTGTGGGCTCACTGGTCACCACCTCCCACACCATGATGGTCTGAAACGTGCAGACACAGAGCATAGCCAACAACACTCACTTTATTTGCACAATAGCTTAATTTAAATGTCAAAACAAAGGAAATAGACCTGTCATATGCTGTAGGAACAAATGTGACGATGTATACTAAACATCACTGGCTATGAATCAGCCATGAGTCAGCCATGAGTCACAGACTGACACAGAAATGTGATCCTCCAGCGAGCTGTAATGTAAAGGCTATAAATGTCCGGGGTGACATAAGGACACAGAGGGCTGTTACCAAAGACTCAAAGCTCCGACACATCCTCACAGCACAGTTTATATATGGAATAGATATACATTGAGTATACACGTTGAAATAGTTCAGTCTAAACATATACACGTTATAAAAGCTCGTTTCATTCTTATCTATTTCACAATGTTCTCGTCATGTGACTTCTCTTGTTGATAAACTTTGAGAATATTTCACGCATGCGCATACAAGCCCATTCATTCAATAACGAGAAGGGCAGCGATAATACATCTGAAGTCGTTTAAAATAAGTGAAAAGCACGACAGTAACCACATATAATGGACATACTTTTGTGATATTATGGGTTGCTATTAAATGGAACTGCTGTCCACGTTAATACACGACGATACACTTCAAAGGAAGCAGCGTTATCTGCGGTCACGAAACAAAAGAAACACAGAAGTAACGTCGACGAAAAGGAGAAAAACCTTTAAAGTCTGTATGTTAACGACACATTAACCACATTAAAGAGACTTTAGGCGTGAAAATATCATTAAATTAAAGAATTTGGAAGAGCCATTGTATTGCGCAAATGCAGTTAAAAAAAAAAAACTAACGTCAACAATGAAGGTTTACGGAGAGGGCAGAAAAAAGTCAATTTAAGACCTAAAATAAACGTTGTCAGTTTCAAATTATAACTCGTCTGCCGAGATCGGGTGACATTCATACAATTGGTGTAATTACTTCTCATATTAAACGCTTTAAAACTCCCAAAATGATTTCAATGAACTTTCCTTAACTCACCAAAACAGTCGCCTTGTACGGTGGTGGGGGCTGGTATAAACATCGTGTGCCCTGTGATCCTATTGGTCAGAGCGGATGTAAATCAGCAGCTTATCTCATTCTCATTGGTCGCCTCAGTGCAGCTGGTTCTTATCGCCACAACATGAAAACATTGGGTGGGTTAAAGTAAGGACATATGGCTGAACCAAAGTTAACAACTAAAACACATCTGATGTCCTGTGTAAAGAGCAAATATCTCTTTCCATTGACAGTATATTAAGTAGTATCTACCCTTTCATTCAAGTGGCATAATCATGTAATAGCAAAATACTTTAAAATGCAACAGAAAAACAGCCCAAAGCACAGCTTCCCTACATCCAGTGCAACAAGAACAACACGCTGGCACATGTTTCTAACCCTCGCTTAAAACCCTTCAAGTACACTCTTTGTGATTATGAAAGTTTCACTGCTGCCATCAGGAGAGGTAGAGGCCAAAACTAGAGGCATCCTCACATTTGGGCAGAGAGAAACTTGGGAAAAACGTTACTTTAACTCAAGGAAAACAAGTTAAAGAAACATTTAAAATACAATAATTGGTGTAGGAGCCATGAAACGTATAGCAATGCGTTTGGTTTTGATATAGGATGTTTGTTTGGTCACTGTTGATTGGTTGGCTTGGGTCACATGGATATGGGCGGCACTCATTATAATCCTGTTCACCTGCGTGAGGTGTGTGTGTGGAAGAGAGGGTGACACAGGGCCGTTGTACTTTTAGTTGACCGCACGTTTTAATGAATGCTTTGATTAATATAACAATGTACATGTCCAAGTAGAATAAGTTGATCATCCCAGTTTCCATTAAACCACATTATTTTTCAACAGAGTTTTTTGATCTCAGCAAGTACCTTTTTGTAGCTTGTCACACAAGATCTAACAGGCCCGACCTCAGCCTCTCAGCGACTTTGTTTGTTTCCTGCTGTCGCTATAGGCGGCTTGACAAAACTTTTGGGGAGTTTTACGGGGCGTGGTTTGCAATCCGACCAGCCAATCAGAAATGGGAACCTTTTTCTCCCACGAAAGTCCCTGCTGATGGGACGTCATTGTTGTCACAGCTATGTTCTTTGTCTGTCATTGGATGCTAACAACAACACTTGACTACGGATCAAGCAACAACCAGGCACTCGTACCCCCGAATACCAGCGATGCACATCATGGATCTAGACTTTGATGTGTACCTAGCATCCCTTCTTCCAGCGTCAGAGACGCTGAAGCCCACCAAAATTATGTTGCTTTCTTGGGCTTTACTGCAACACATGGAAAACTGAGTAGAATCTCAAACGACACAGACCTAAACATGTATGCAATAAATGGATCTTGGGATCAAACCTGGGATCAGTCATCATTGACTCCTGGAAAGACTTGAAAGGCTAAAGCCTGGGTTGCTTGCAATTAATTGGAAAATGAAACTCGATCTGTTCAGGATTATCTTCATGTCTGGCTCTGAGACCTGGACCCGCAAGGCTCAAATCCCTAATTGTCTGAACTGGTGCCATATTATCCTCCTTTGTAGGGTACAACATCTATCTTGGAAGAACCATCTAAAAGGTACAGCAGATGTATGGCAACATCCGGCTCAGCAGGCGCCTAATTCAATGGCAGTCAAGATTTGCTGGTGACTTTTTCTGCGCCAAATGTGAACGTATTTTAGATCTGATCCTGTGGAATCCTTCAAGGGGTCTGAAGCTAACCTTCACAGATCTCCTGGATCCACTGGTATCAGTCTGGAAATCTTGTGCCAGCCATGAGCAACCAGAAATGCTGAATGACTGTAGTTTGAGGTCTCTCGACTAAGGTTGCATGATGATGGTGATGAGGATGAGGATGATGACAGAAGTCAGAAGAAGAACGTAATCCTTCTCTATAATGGTGAATGGGAATGTGACGTTATCAACAGAAATTGGTCCGTCTTAGGAGGATAACAGCAACCGCAATCTATTGACTTCACCTGTTCAGCGAGCGGAGTAGACCTAACCTTTTCACTTTAAACTTTTAAACATGTTCGGGAGGCACTGTGATGTTATACCACTAGCCACTCATATGACCAACGAACAAAACAAACAAAAGGACAATGAGATTATATATTATTCTTTTAAACCAACATGGAAACGAGGGAGACGTAGACACATCAGCAAGAGACGCTGAATTTGCTGAACTACAGGAACACAAAGCACTACACTGGGAATATAAGGTTGCATGATGATGATGAATATCATTTAAAACAGGAAATATTTCAGTACAAGTACACGCTTTTTTAGGACTCAGTTAGTATTACACTAGCTCTGTCCGGAGGATATACAGTGGGGCAAAAAAGTATTTAGTCAGCCACCAATTGTGCAAGTTCTCCAACTTAAAAAGCTGAGAGAGGCCTGTAATTTTCATCCTAGGTATACCTCAACTATGAGAGACAAAATGAGAGAAAAAAATCCAGAAAATCACATTGTCTGATTTGTAAAGAATGTATTTGCAAATTATGGTGGAAAATAAGTATTTGGTCAATAACAAAAGTTCATCTCAATACTTTGTTATATACCCTTTGTTGGCAATGAAAGAGGTCAAACGTTTTCTGTAAGTCTTCACAAGGTTTTCACACTGTTGCTGGTATTTTGGCCCATTCCTCCATGCAGATCTCCTCTAGAGCAGTGATGTTTTGGGGCTGTCGCTGGGCAACACAGACTTTCAACTCCCTCCAAAGATTTTCTATGGGGTTGAGATCTGGAGACTGGCTAGGCCCCTCCAGGCCCTTGAAATGCTTCTTACGAAGCCACTCCTTCGTTGCCCGGGCGGTGTGTTTGGGATCATTGTCATGCTGAAAGACCCAGCCACGTTTCATCTTCAATGCCCTTGCTGATGGAAGGAGGTTGTCACTCAAAATCTCACGATACATGGCCCCATTCATTCTTTCCTTTACACGGATCAGTCGTCCTGGTCCCTTTGCAGAAAAACAGCCCCAAAGCATGATGTTTCCACCCCCATGTTTCACAGTAGGTATGGTGTTCTTTGGATGCAACTCANTAATGTTTTGTTGTCGTAAGTATTTGTAAGGTATGGTGTGTCTTGTTGTTTAAAAGAATGAAAAATTAATAAACATATTGTTAAGAAAAAGAAGCAGCAGTGACAGTGTGTGTGTGTGTGTGTGTGTGTGTGTGTGTGTGTGTGTGTGTGTGTGTGTGTGTGTGTGTGTGTAGGTTGGGCGGAGCGACATCAGGGCTGTTCTGTGCCCTCACCTCTCTGTGCAGTCAGCTGGAGGAAGACGGAGCAGTGGATGTTTACCAGGTGGCACGGATGACCAACCTCATGAGGCCTGGGGTGTTTAATGATATAGTAAGTTTGGACACACACACAAAACACACACACACACACTAATGTGCTTTCACACCTAACCTGTTTTTTTTTTTTCTGGACTACATGAACCGTGTGAAAACAGCCTTAGTCCTTACTCCTTCCTACCTAACTTAGCTTTGACAAACAAGGACAGAAATGAATAACAACCAAAGATATACAACCCTCAGACTGTAGAGAGAAGAAGCTGGTAATGTTCTTTATGATAAAGCTGTGAAGCCCTGACTGTTGCAGTGTTTCCTCCCCAGGAGCAGTACCAGTATCTGTACCGCGCCGTGCTGAGCCTGGTGAGCAGCCAGGAGGACCAGAGAGCGCTGCAGAGTCCAGAGACCAACGGCTCCGTGCCGCTGGGTCAGAACAACATCGCTGAGAGCCTGGAGTCCCTCATGTAGACACACACACACACACACACACACACACACACACACACACACACACACACACACACACACACACACACACACACACACACACACACACACACACACACACAGCTCATTTCTGATGTGGCGCCTCTTTTAAAACCAGAAAAAGTGCCCCTTTCTAGTAAAACGGTGATTATAAAGGACATCTTTTTTGTTCAATAACTACTGGAGTTATTCACGGTTAACAGATCCTTTACTAATGCTCTATAGATCAGTTAGTTTGTGTTTCCAGGTTGCGAAAGCTCTCCTAAAATCTATCTAGTACAATTATAACTGAATTGTTCCCGTCTTATTAGAAAGCAAAAACATAACAAACATCTATTGATGAATTAGCAATATTTAAAAGCATATAACTGATCTATAAAGCATTAATAAAGTGTCTTATAAGCATAAATAAATCCACTAGTTAGACTACACATAAACAAGTGTGATTAAAAACAATCAAAAATATATTTCTAAATTTTGAATTCAAGATATTTTTCTTAACGATGAAGAGTCAGCTATTCAGTTACACTTAACTAAATGTACCACTTCTGCAGCATTGTTTAGATTTTGTGTTCCTATACTCAAGGCAAAACTCAAATGTATACAAATGAAACAAGATTACTTTAATTAAAAAAAAAGGGAACGTACATTTTCCTAAGCCCTTGATTTCTTATACATTGTATGCAGTGCACAACATTAACCAGCCGATTCTGGGGCTCAAACTACCACTTCTCCTTTAGAGTAATATTTTACCTCTTCAGGCCTCACTAGTGACATTTATTATTCTACGTAAAGGTGTTTACCGCTGTTACACTGGCTCAATGGACTCTGATACCCTGTGCCTTTTCTAATTCATCCTATCGTACTCAAATCAAGCCTGTTTTGATACAACTGTGTGACTAATATGCCAAAATAATGACCTGTGATTTTTTTTCTACTTTATTAAAGTATTTTGCGCATGTTGCTGTGTATGTAAAGGTCTGAGAGGAGATTAAAAGGCTTCGGATATTTTGTAAAAGATGCAAGTTGTCCCCATTAGCCTGATGGCTTAGACATGCAGGGATAAGAAGAAACAGTTTTTCGTAAGGAATTGAATCCATAGGTTTTAATAAAGGGCAGAACATCTTTAAACGCTCCGAAATCTCTCCTGCAGCACAAGAATCAATCATTATAATCAGCGAGAATAACATCTAAATGTAAACTCCTCTGTAGAATAAGTTGTGGCAAACATTTAAGTCACATGACTGATCAGCTGTTTCTGCTGACATGTATTTATATTGTCACCAGGAGAGACATTTAAATATTTCTTTTGTTACCCGGAGGAGTACAGCCACTTACTTCTGTCCAAACTACGCTCTGTGGAGGCAAATTAACTCCACACCAGATGATGGAAGATTCTTCTTGGATGCCTATTCCTTTTTTGTGTGAAATGTCAGCTTTTCTTGACATTTCTATGGAAACACGGCTCCATTGTTGCGTTCAGTGACAGTGGAAAGAAAAACAGACTTCCCCACGTCCTGCATCCCTGTGCCACTCGCTACGACTGTTTCCATTTGGCAGTTTGTTTCCACTGCCTCAGACCCGATCAATCGATGTCTGAAAAACGTGCTGCAGCTTCTGTCTGCCTCTGCTTTGCTTCCGCCATTTATTTTGCTGATCTGGGGAAGCAAAATGGCACAGACGGCGACTGCACCCACTTTCTGTGTAAATATCCCTGAACGCATCAAAAGGCCAACATTACTGTATGTATACTGTACCTCTATATATTTTCTATTTTACTATAAAAAAGTGATTTTCTAGTCCTTTACACATAAACAGTATACCTGTGTGGATCTATTTGATAACTTTAGCCTGGAAATGTTGGTCATGTTTATAGTTTTAATGGAATGTTATCTCTTTATGATTACAGTAGCAGCTTAATGTCTATCCATTTTATTTCCAGCCATACACTGGTGCAGTATGTAAATAAATAAAAAATAGCAACACGATATATGTTTCCAACCTTGTTTATGATTTTAAACTTGTTTATTTTTCCGGGTGGGAAACAAATAAAATGTTCTTGTTCAGACCTAAACTTTCTCCCTTTATTTTTTTGATTGTGTCCATTTTTTTTTTTCTTCGCACTTTTCAAAAACGATGCAATTATAAAAACACAAATGTACCAAAACATTTTCCGTTTGCAACGCTTCTAGTAAAACCTGTGCATGTTTCTATACTTGCATGTGTTTTGGCACGTTTGCATTTTTACATTTGCACCGCTTGTGAAAGTGCAGCCTGTTTCTCATAATGAAAATGTTTCGGGCTGTTGTAGCGCGTTGGCACCTGTTGGCCACCGTACAAACACATAAAGACACAGCACCAACAGGAAGACGGATTCATCATGCTTTTATTTATTTATATTATGAAACATTGTATGACACCCCCTGATCAAGTTCAATAATCAATACAACAAATGAAGTCAAAACCAAAAATATATCTTTACATTTATATGACACAATATACTGTAGCAGTCACATACGATAAAGTGTATATAGTGCGTTAAGAATTAACCTCGTTATGCGGTAACAATATAAGGACAACACTGGGAATATTTATTCTCTTTTTATAGATATCCTTAAAGCGGTCAAGCCCTTCCCCTTCACACAATGCGTGGATATGACAGGTTCAAGTACAAAAGGGGCAAATATTGACTTTTTAACACTGTATGCTGTAGGCTTAGTTTAAATCACGTTTTGTCTTTCTCGAGCGACTTTTAGGGAAAACGTAACACTTATCTATTACTTTTTAAAGGTTTACAAATGAAAGGTAAGTTAAGGTGGTGAACGAAGCAAAGCCTCCCTAAAAAAAGACCAGATTTTTTCTTAAAGGTGGCGTACATTTGTTTAATAACTAAATATTTCCTGATAAATTACAGTCAATAATAATATGCAGTCTTGTGCAATACACAGCGTTCAAATGCAAGTAATACAGGCAATACAACTTTTTCCGCTGTCCGAAATTGTACCTCAAAAAAATGCCAAAAAAATGCAAAATTTTTTCTTTTCCTCCTTTCGCAAAAAAAAAAACGTTTTTTGGAACCCAAAAAAAAGAAGTTGTTACGTTTTCCTACCCCTCCTTTTTTTTCGAAAAGTTTTCCAAAAAGTTTTCCCCCGTAAAAAAAAAAACCCAAAAAAGGTTTTGTGTTCCAAAAGTTTTTTTTTGAAAACCAAAAAATTGCTTAAAAGTCAAGCTTTTTTTAACCAAAAACAGAACGGAGACAAAAAAACAACCCCTTAAATCCAAGGCTTTCCGCAAATTAAATAGACCTCGGTTTTTTCTTAACAAAATCTTTTTTACCAAACAAAAAGAGGTTTAGAAATTTTTCCTGCCCTTTTTTGGACGGCCCTGGAACGTCCTCCAAAAGTCCTTCCTTTCCCGCCCTTTCGGTCCGTTTCAAGAAAATGGTCCACACTTTTGCAAACCCACAAACAGGGGTTGGTCCGTCGCTTGTAAAAAACGGTTGTTGGTGTGTGGGAAGGACTTTGTTGTGTTGAACCCGAACCTGGTGTTCGAAACCCGGGTTGTAGCGGTGCCCGGAAAAAGTCTTTTTTCGGGGGGACCGAACCCGGCCCTTCGGCCGGGGGTTCCGTCGCATTTGCAACCCGACCCCCCTGATTTTTTTTTTCTGGGGGTTTTGCAATTTTTTTTTTACCAACTTTTTTATTTTTTTTTTCTTTAACATCAGATAAACCAGAGGGGTAAGGTGCAACCTTGTTTTCTTAGCCCTTTCGGTTTTTTTTTGTTTGGAAGTAAAAATTTTTTATTTTTTTCAAAGGTTGCCTTTTTTTTTTTCCCAAAAGGGAAAAAAAGGAAATTTTTTTTTTATAAAGATTTTTTAAAAAAGGAAAGTGACAAAAAACCAATAAACAAAAAATTTTTAAAGAGCAAGTGAAAAATTACAAGCCCAAACAATTTTTTTTTTTTTTTTTTTTTTTCGATAATAACAACTTTTTTTTTATTCCCCCGTAATACAACTTAGAACAAAAATTTTTTTTTTGAAAAAAGGCCTTTTGGGAACAAAACGAAACGATATTTTTTTTTAATTTTTCCCCTATTTTTTAATTTTTTTTTTCAAGGTAAGAAATTAAAAGAAATAAGGAAATTCAATTTTAGGAAAATTTTTTCCTAAAAATCCCAATTTTTTTTTTTTTTTTTTCCAGGTTAAAAAAATTTAAAAAAATTTTACTTTTTTTTTTTTTTTTAAATAATTAAAAAATTAAAATTTTTTTTGTAACAACTGTAATTTTTTTCTAAAACAAAAAATAAACCCAAAAAAACCCTTTTTTTCCCCCCGGGGTTTTTTTTTGGGACCCCGGGGGGGGTTTTTTTTTTTTTTTTTTAAAGGGGTAAAAAACAAAATAAAAAAACCCCCCTTTTTTTTTTTCCACAATTTTTTAAAAAAAAACCCCCCCGAAGCCCCCGGTTTTTATTTCTCGGGGTATTTAAAAAAAAGTTTTTTTAAAACCCAACCAATTACATATAATACCCCTTCAAACCCCAAAAGCTATACCGAATTTTGAAAACAAAAAAGGGGAAAAAGTTTTTTTTCCCCCTAAAAAAAAACCCCAAAAAACAACAACCTGGGTTTCAAAAAGGAAAAATGTAAACCGAAAAAACGGGGGGTTGGGAAAAAAAAGGGGAAAGTTCCCCGGAACGGTAAAAAGGACAAAAAAAGGGGAAACCTTCCCCCCAGAAACACCAAAAAGTAAAAAAAACCCCGTTTTTTTTTTTTTTTTTTTCGGAGGGTTTTCCCCCCCCGGAAAAGAAGGGTTCGGGGGGGTCGGGGGGTTTTCATTTTTTTATTTTAAAGGAATTGGGTTTAAAAAAGGGAAAAAAAAATGCGAAGGGCACCCCCCCCCCGGGAAGGGGGGGAGGAAGGGGAAAGGGGGGGTTTCCGTTCGGTTTGGGGGCAGGGGCCCCAGGGGGGGGGGGGGGGTCCTTTTCCCCCAGCCACCCCGTCCCCCCTCCGGGGGGGCCCCCCGGAAAAAAAAAGGGCCGTGGTTCCCCCCTTTTTTTTTTGGTTCCCCGAAAAAAAGAAAAATTTCCCGGGGAGAAAAAAAAGACCCTTTTTTGGGTGTTTTTCCAAAAAAAAAACCCAGAAACTCTTTTTTTTTTTTTTTGTTTTGGTTTTTAGATAAAATTTTTTTTTTTTTTTTTTTTTTTAGAGGGGGAAAATTAAAAGGGCCCAAAAAAATAAAAAACCCCATTGGAAAATTTTTTTTTTTTTTTTATCTTGGGCCCCCCCGAAAAAAGGGGTTTTTTGGGAAAAGTTTTTTTCCCTGTTCATTTCTTTTTTTTTTTCCGACCCCCAACCCCCCAAACAACCTTTTTTTTTTTTTTTGTTTCACTACCCCCAACGAAAAAAAAAGTAACAAAGGGGGTGTCCTTCCCTTTTTTTTTTTTTTTTTTTTTTTGGGGGTTTTTTTTTTTTTCCCGAAAAAAACAAAAAAAACCCAAAGGGAGGGGTTTTTTTTTTTTTTTCTTTAAAAAGGGAAAAAAAAAAAAAGGAGGCCCAGAAAACCTTGGCCCCCCTCCCCCCCCTTTTCTTTTGCCCCAGCCCGACCCCCTTTTTTCCGAAAGAGGGAAAAACACCCCCCGGGGGGGGGGGGGGGGTTTTTTGGGGGTGGGGACCCGGTTGAAACCCCGGAAAGGGAAGGGGGTATTTTTTTTTTTTTTCCCCCAAAATTTTGGTTGGGTTTTTTTGGGTTGCAAGAAGGAAAAAAGTTTGAAAACGGATCCCCTTTTTGGGTGGGTAAACCCTTTTCACCTTTTTTTTTTTTTTTCCCCCCTTAAAAAAAAATCCCCAGTTTTTTTTTTTTTTTTTTTTTTTTTTTTTTTCCCCGGACCAAAAAAAACCCAAAAATATTGGAGGGAAGGGAGACCCCCAGGTAAAAAGTCCACCGAAAGCCCCAAAAAAGGAAAAACGCCAAAAAGGGTGGGGTTTTTCACCCCGAGGGTTTTTTTTTTTTCCCAAAACCCCCCCCTGACCCCCGGTTCCACTTGCCACCCCTTTCCCCCCCTGGAAACCCACCTGAAACCCAACGAAAAAAACCCCTTTTTTTTCCTTTTTCTGAAAAGACCAAAACCCCCCTGCTTTCCCCTTTTTCCCCCCCCCTTTTTTAAAAAAAAAGGGTTTCCCAGGGGAAAAAGGAAACCTTTTTTTTTTTTTCCCCATTGTTAAAAAAAAAAAAAACCTAACAAAAAAATGTAAATTCCTTGTAAATTTACCCCCAAAAAAAAAAAAAATAAAAAACCCCCTGCGGAAAAAGGATTTCCCAAGTTGAACCCCCCCCTTTTTTAAACCCTTGGGGTAAAATTTGTTTAAATTTTTTTTTTTTTTTCCCCCCCCCCTTAAACATGTTTTTTAAAGGTAAGATTTTTTTCCCCAATAACCCCCCCCCCCCCGGCTCCACCCCAGACCGTTCCGGAAAACCCACACCCTTTTTAACGAAAAAAAGTAATTTCTCCTGAAACCAAAAACAAAAAACAACAAGGGCCCCAAAAAGTTTTTTCCCCCCGGAACAAACCGAAAAAAAAAAAAATTGTTTTTTTTTTTTTTTCCCCCGAAAACCCCACCCTTGGAGGGGGGAAAAACTTGGGGGGGGAACCCCCCCCCCACGCGGGAAGCCCTTGGGTTTTTTATCGAAACCCAAAAAGGTAAACCCCCTACAGGCCCGGGCCGAAAACGGGGTTTTTTGACCCCTTTGGTGGGGGGGAAAAAAGATGCAGGCCTTGTTTTCCCCCATTCCCCCCCGGATTTACTTTAATTTCCCTTTTTTGTGAAACTTTTTTTTTTTCGTTTGGTTAAAAAAAAAAGTAAAAAATGTTTTTTCCTTTTCCCCTAAACCCCCCCTTTTTTTTTTTTTTTTAATTAAACGAAAGGTTTTTTTTTTTTTTTTTTTTTTTTTTTTGGTTTTTTTGTTAAAACGTAAAGTAAAAGGACAAAAAAAAATTCCCCCAAACCCCAAGGCAAAGGGGTTTTAAAAAAGGGGTATGGGCCTTTTTTTTATTTTCCCGAAAAACCCCTGGGCACCCCCCAAACCCCAAAAAGTGGAAAATTAAAAAACCCCACCTAAAAATTGGCACCCGAAATACCCCTTTTTAACCCCTTTTCCCCAAACCCAAACCTTTTAACAACAAAACCCGGAAAAAGGAAAGGGTCCCCCCCTGTGGTTTTTTTTTTTTTTCCTTTTTTTTTTTTTTCTTTTTTTTTTCCCCCGGGGGTTTTTTTTTTTTTTTTTTTTTTTTTGTGGGGGTGGGCCCCTTGCCCTGGAAAGGCCCCCGAAAACCCAAAAAAAAACCCCCTGGGGGGTGGTTTAAAAAAAAAATTTCTTTCCAAAAAAAATGGTTTTTTTTTTTTTTAAAAAAAAAGGGGGGGGGAACCCCCAAAAAAGAGGGTTTTTTTTTTTTTTTTTGGGAAGGGGTTTTTCCCCGCGACCTAAAAAAAAACCCATTTCCACCCACACCCACCTTTCCAACCCACTCAAAAAAAACTTTTTTACCAAAAAAGGGAAAGACACAACCCAAGAAAAAAAGGGAGTTTTTTTCAAAATGGGCCTGGGGAAGTTATTTGAAAAGGAGAAACCCTGAAAAAGGGGGAGAAAAACGGGGGCCAAAAGGGGGGGGAAAAAAATTTGCCAAAAAACGAACCCTTTTTTTCCCCCCCCCCCCCCCGTCCCCGTAAAAACCCGGGTTTTTTCCCGCCCCCCCGCCCCCGCCCAACCCCGGGAAAAGGGTCAAAAAGGGGTCGCCCCCCCCCCGGGGAAAGAGGGGTTTTCTGGTTCCCCCCCTCTTTTTTGGCCCCCCGTTAAAAATGCCCATTTTCCCCAATTTGGTCGGGGTGGGGGGGGAAATTTAACGGTTACACCCCCCCCCCCCCTTTTTTTTGTTTTTTTTTTTTTATTTTTTTTTTTTTTTTTTTTTTTTTTTTTGGGGGGGGTTTTGAGATTTTTTCCCCCCCCCCTTTTTTTTTTTTTTCCCCAAAATTTGGGGTTTTTTTTTTTTTTTTCATTTTTTTTTTTTTTTTTTTTTATTTTTTAGGGAAACCCAAGGGGAAAAAAAAAAACAAAACCCCCTAGGGGGTGCGGGGGGGGGTTGGGGGAAACGTTTTCCCCCCTGGGCCGGCGGGGGGTGGTTCAAGGGGGCCCCCCCCGGGGGGAAAAGGGGGGGAAAAAAGGAAAGGGGTACAGAGTTTTTTTTTTTTTCCGGGTTTTTTTTTGAAGAGTTTTATATATATATATATATATTTTATATAGGAAGGTTATACACGAGATATATAATACCGGCGGTATTTCGGCCGTTTTTTTTTTTCGTTTTTTTACACCCCCCACCACCCTTTCAAATTTTTTTTTTAATTTTTTTTTTTTAACGGGGGGCCCCAGAGAGAGAGAATATATATATAATAATACTATTATATTATCTTTTTCCAAAATAGAGTTTCTTAATTTCTTCACTTTCGCCAACGTACATTCATTTTAAACCTTATATCTTTGCCAGGACCCGCATAATAGTACACACCCGAACAATAGCCGGCGTTTTTAATTTACACACACACATGAATCCCCACACACAAAAAAATAAAAAAGTATATCACCATTCAAAACCATATACTTTCATGTTGCTGTCTCCTCAAAACAACAAAATATTTGGAGGGGGGCCCCCCCCCCCGGGTTCCCCCTTGGGGGGGATAATTTATTTTTTTGGATATTTTCATTCCCTCCACACCTCAAAAACACACAAAAAACACCTACATTACAACAACAAAAAACACACACCAACAACCACCACCTCAACACTATCCCACAACACCCCCCAACAAAAAAACCCACCAACCTAAACATCACCACCAAAAAAAAAAAACAACCCACAAAACACCCAGACCACCAACCAAACAAACCCAAAAAACCAAAACATCACCAAAAAAAAAAAATACAAAACCAAAAAACACACCCACAAAAAAAAACAAAACACCAAAAAACAAAAAACAACAAAAACAAACACACCCCACAACAAAACACAAAAAAAAAACAAACCAACACCACCAACAACAAAAAACAAAACACCCCACCACAAAACACACAACCACAAAACCAAAAAAAACACACCAACAACACCCAAAAAAACAAACCAAACAAAAAACACCACACCAAACAAAAACAATTTTCCATTGAAACCCAAAACAAAAACTTTTAAACCAAAAAATTTAAAAATTGGGTTAAAAAAAACAAACGCACCAACCAAAACAAAAAAAAAATAAAAAGTCCCCCCCCGCCCCTTAAAAGGTCCGGCAAAAAGGGGAAAAAAAAGGGGAACCCCCTTTCCCCCGTTCAAAAAAACCCCCTTTTTTCCCCTTTTTTTTTTTTTGACCGCCTTTCCCACCTTCCCCTTTCCTTTTTTTTTTTTTTTTTTTTTTTTGCCCCCCCTTGCCCAAAAAAAAAAAAAGTTGAAAAAAAAAAACCAAAAAAACCCCCCCCGGTCTTTCCCCGGGGGGGGGGGGGTTTTTTTTTTTTTTTTTTTTTTTTTTTTTTTTTTTTTTTTCCGGGGGAGGCCGGACTGCCTCCCCCGGGGTCCCCCCCCCCCCCCCTTTTTTTTCCTTTTTCCCTTGGGAAAAAGGTTTTTTTTTTTTTGGGTTCCTTGACGAACCCCCCCCCCCCCTTTTTTTTTTTTTTTGCGTTTTTTCTTTTTGCCCTTTTTTTTTTTTTTTTATGGGGGTTTTTTGAGAACCAATGCAATGGGTGGGGTGGTGGTTTGGGGTTTGGGTTTTTTGGTTTGGGGTGGTTTTTTTTTTTTGGTTGGGTTGTTTGTGGGTTGTGGGTTTGGTTTGGGGTGGTTTTTGTTTTGTTTTTTTTTGGGTTGGTTGGGGGTGTCCCCCCCGAAAAATTCTAAGAACCCGAAAAAAAGGGAGGATTTAAAAAAAATAAAAAAAAAAAGGGGAAGAAACAACCCCAAGGGGTTTTGGGGGTTCCCCCAAAAACCAAGTTCAAACCCCTTTTTTTTTAAACCCTTTTTTTTTCCGAAAAAACGTTTCCCTTTTTCCCCTTTTTCTCCCTTTTTTTTTTTTTTTGGGGACCCCATTTTTCCGGTTTTTTTTTTTTTCCCCCCCCCCCCCGGGGGGTGGTTTGGTGTTTGGTTTTGGGGTTTTTGGGTTTGTTTTTTGGGGGTTTTTGGGTTTTGGTTTTTGTTTGTGGTGTGTGGGGTGGTTTTGGGTGGTTTTTGTTTGTTTTGGTTGGTTTGGGGTTTTTTTGGTTTGGGTTGGGTTGGTGGGTGGGGTTGTGGGTGTGTGTGTGTGTGTGTGTGTGTGTGGGTGTGTGTGTGGTGTGTGTGTGTTGTGTGTTGTGTGGGTGTGTGTGGTTGTCGAAGTTATCAGTATAAGTATAATTCACAAAGATTTAAGAGTTTTGAAAGTTTTTTGTTAAAGTCAAAGTAACCCCAAAATTGATAAATTTTAGCCAGCAGACAAATATCAGTAATCTTGTTCTTCAAATTGTTTGTAAACTATTTTTATACTATAAAATTAAGATCTCGTACGTCAGGTAAAAAAGGTATCCTGTAAGATAGGGTTTTAATGCCTTCGTCCAATTGGCCAATAATAAATACTGACCACAAGTAGAGGTCCCAAAGTGCTACACATTTACACCCTGTTAAGGAAATTTTTCCTTTTTCTCTAAGACCAGCAAAAGGTCAGAGAACGGGGTAAGTAGCACGAACCTTGCCCCCCTTCCCACACCACGACTTCGAAAACCCCATTTTCATCTTGTACATCGGTAAGGTAAATTTATAAAATATATTACTATATATTACTT